CATGAGTGATCTATTAACACGTTAGTGTTATGCCTCGAAATTGGGATATGCTGTTGAACCGGGAGACAATCCCCTAGCTACTCTTACACGAATAATTCAACAGGTTCTTTCACATGAGGGGGCGTGAGCTTGAAATCGTAGCTGACCAAATGTCAACAGGATTTCCCTGATGATTTCTGTATGCGTCAGCTGGACCTGTTTGATTCAACTGAAAATTTGCATACGTTTGAAGTCGCCGCTAAGCCGACAGCTTTTCTCGGATTTCTCAGAATTTTAGCGCTTGTTTACTCGGTAATACCTTCCAGCAAACCAAAAAAAATAGGCGGTCGTAAACCGCATGTGTCTACTGCCAATTTAGAAACGGATTGTTTAAAGGGGCACTTAGATGAAAACACCCTGATTTTAATATTTCTAACAGGAAATCTATAAATGTTAACGTTGTTGTACGTTGGACTACTGACATTATCGAGATGTAAGTCACACTGACCGAGAATAGTTTTAAGACAACTTCCATAGTCATTTACCACAGCTTCCATAGTAGCTTCTTGGATAAAGAAAGACTCAGTGTCACAACAAACATGTGATCTCTGTAAAACAGCTGAGTTTTCATTTACCCGAAGGACTTCTTCAACGGGCTGACTAATCTCACGATAGCGCACAATTATCCTCAAAAGAGGGTTAATTATCCTCCGAAGAGGCTCAATCATCCTCCGAAGAGGCTCAATTATCCTCCGAAGAGGGTGATATATGGCATTAAACGCCATTTGTTTTCCCAATATAGGGCTTTTCATTAGTTGAGAAAGTTAATTGTTTGAAGCCCTGTTTGAAGTCAGGCAGCTTTGTTTTCGGCAAAAACATCGGCCTAAAATTGGAATAACACTTACAAAACCTTTCATCTTATTGTATGGTATACCACATGAAAGCTGTGATAAATGATATTGATAGATTTTACGAAAGCACTTTAATTACTTGAAGTCTCGAGCAGCGAAGAACGAAGACAGTCCAAGATGACAATCCTGCTTTTAAAAATGCGTCATCCCTACATCGGTTACAATTCGGAAATACCGAGATTTCGTTATTCAAGCTATGATTGGTTCCGTAGTTTATCGATATTGAAGAACGTGAGTCGCTTATCCCTGATTGGCTCCGAAGTTTAATGATTGGTTCCGAAGTTTATCCATTCATCAGTTTGGGCTTCCTGTGTTGTTACTGACGGACTTACTTACACGACTCGATAGCATAGTGGCTTCGCCTCTCTAATAGGCAGTAGCCACAATGAGCAAAATCTAAATTTTGACTGTGACCGGCCGATGCTTAATATTAGTGGACCTTGGACCTTCGCTCTTAAATTACTTGATGAAATTAGCTATAGCGTGGAATGAAACCTGGTTGTTTTTTTTTTTGTGTTTTTTTCGGCGACAAAATGAGTTTCAAAAGTTCATTCCTCTGTTGCAAATGGTATAGCTTTGAACCCCAAATAATTGACTTCTTCACATTATGCAAGGTATAAAAACAACATGAAGAAGAACTATCAAACTGCTAAGGGAGTATTAAATTCACAGGATAATCAAAGGAAAAAGCCGGCAATTGGAAAATACCCATTCGGGTACTGATGAAGATGATCTTGCATTGATGAAGCATCAAAGTGCTGTTTTGATTTTTCAAATTGATCGTCCATATTTAGTTATTAAACTAAATAAATGTATTAAGCAATCTTCACTTTATTTCACATTCGTATTCATGAATTGCATTGTTTTCAATTGAAGTGTTTTTTTTTTTCCTACGAGGTTTATTTGGTGCGTTAGGACCGCCTGATCAACTACAACAATCCTTTGCGTGTGTTCCCCGAAATCTCTTGGTTTTTAATCCAAACTTCTATCCAAATATGGATTCAATAATCCTGAAGCGAGATGACATTACCCCCGTCTCTAGACCATAAACCTTTTCACACTGCATTTGTTCTTTGATTATGACTATTGTTCCTGTATTCTCTTAGGAATCAAACATATTAATATGAAAGAATTTTAAACAGTTTTGTACATTTACAATAAAATTGATATAAATTTTTAAAAGTCAATAATGAATGCAACCTCGTTCCCAGGGCCCTCTCGGCCCGACTCCAAAACAAAATGGCGGTCGTCGGGGCGAAGACCCTGGTAAAGGCTGGTCACGTGATCTAAAATACTCCAAGATTTTTGGAGTATTTGATCACGTGGTTTTCGTTCCAAAATGGCGGCCAAACTAGTATCCCAAATCGTCTAAATGTGGGAAAAAGGCCTTTCTTCGTGTGTACGTTGCTCCCGTTTTAGAGTACAAGACAGTTTTTGGATTGCTTTTTCCCCTTTTCGTTTCTTTATTTTAAGTAAACTGTTAGTTTTTCATTTATGTATCGTCATATTTTATTTGTAAATCTTCTAATATTTATTTAATGTAATATATTGCCTCCCGCCTAGATTAGCTTTATGCTATTTGCGGGAGGGTGATAAATTGTGTATATATAGTCATTATTTTGTAAAAATAAACTTGAAACTTGAAACTTGAAACTTGAAAGCTGCAATTTGTGCGAAAGTTCACCAACAACGGTTTTTTAGCTATTTTTTTCCGCTTAGAAACAAAAGTGATGTAAAGAAACTTACTCCGGGAGTCCTGGCTTAATACTTCATATGGTTTCACTTTCTACTGCTACTGCTACTTCTTATAGCTTTGACTGCTTGGATACTGAGATTCGGATTTTCTCTTGGAGTTACCCATTGTCTATCAAATGACCCGTAGCTTAACTGTTTATGACACTTTTAAGATTGCTACCCAAGATGTATCTTTCTTTGAGTACTTCGAAGATCATAGGTCATAGATTTCGTCATGTTGGATGCCCATGACCAATTGTGTCTTGTGTTTCCCCAGCCAAGAGAGAAACTCTTCAATATTCAGGTTATTTGTGACAGACCTTGGTAGAAATGACAATCTTAATGTGCTCTATGTTCAAGCACAATTCAATATATACTGAATATTGTATATGTAGCCCTAAATCTTTAGAATTTCTGTTGTATTTAAAAAAGGATTCATTGAATAAAAAAGTATGTGCTTCCTTGCAAAATTGTTGTTACTGTCACTATTTTTTTATGTTTTAGGCAATAGGATGAATGGTGAAACAATATCACAAATTAGCACCCTTCTGTGCACCCCTCTTTAGGCTATCCTATTTTGGGGTAGACCATGACTTGTAAGAGTTCTTTTTCATGATGATTACTGTTTGCAATATTGAATTATATTATTAATGAGGATTTCTCATACGCGTATGAGTAGCCAGGTTGGAGAAAAAGAATTACATTTAATTCCAGGAGATGGGAGGGGGGTGGGGGAATAAAAAAATTAAAGTACAGCTAGTCCATATAAAGAATAGTCTAACCCTTACATGTAAGAATTTCAATGTTTCTAAAATTATCAGGTCACTTGAATAATTAGACAAATGAAAGTTACTAGCTAGTTACTCTCACATCCTTATAACAAGTTATTGCTATCTTGCAGCTGAAGCAATGACTGACTTGCAGTAACCGCAATAAATAAGTTTAGATTAAGGATTTTGAATTAGTGACAAATGTTCTTATACATTTGTTTTCTTTCAAACATGTTTAGGTTGTTTGTCACTTCTTTCAGCATTGCCAGTTAGCAATGTTGTTAATTTTTTAACAGGTTTTTTTAACACCACCAACAGCAATTTGTTACTTCAATACTTTATTTATTTACAATACTACTGTAAATTTATTACAATAAATATACAACTATAGTTTATTACTCTCATATTCATAGAATTATTAAGGCAACAGACAACTTAAACAACTCGAATGTAAACTTCGTTGTTCAAGTCTATCTTTCTTTTATTCCGTTTGAAGATAATCGTGCGCAATTAAGTTTTTCATAACTTTCTTGGGTTGTATTTTTGCACCCTGTACTATTATGATTTTATTATGTATTATGTGGGGTATCATGTGTAGCTTCCAGGTCATATTAAATAAATTCTTTCGAACCTACTTTGTTTCATGGCGGTTTTTAACATCGAACTAAGTTGTACCAATCATTCAAACCTTGTATGCGCCATTTAGAAATATCAGTAGAAGCCGTTGGGTCATTGCTCTTTCTTTTTAAATCATAAATAACACGACTTTTTTAGGATGAAACGATTCACCGAGGAACAAGACGAATACAGATAAGAAGTCGGCCATCTTGTACTATAAAATTTCAACCAATCAAAGTGCTTGTAAAGAATTTTTTTCAGGAGCCAATCAAAACGCTTGATAGAACAGCCTTTACCAGGGTCTTCTCCCTGACGAACGCCATTTTGTTTTGGAGTCGGGCCGAGAGGGCCCTGGGAACGAGGTTGTAATGAATGTAAATATAAATATGTATAAGGGTCATCTATCAATGAGTAAAAGTTAAAATATTATATAAAAGTATGAGATATATTAAAGTGCACATGAACCCTTCGACAATACTTTCAGTACTGATTCTACACGAAGTAAATAGTTGAATGGTAAAATATTTCTTGATTTGAGTGATGCGTTTCTAAGTTATGAAGGTTTATACTTCCAATATGCTAATGAGTGTGACGTCTATTAAGGCTTAATCAAATATACAAAATCGAACTGGTTCATAGAAACAGTATTTAAAAAGCATCATTATTTTACTCATGGTTTACGTGAAAGCTATTTACAATTTTTATTTTCAAAATGGCCAGCATTTAGTATTACTATTACAACAAAAACACTCAAATACCTTACCTGACGTCATCATCATTAACATATTGCAAGTATAAACCTTCATAACTTAGAGACGCATCACTCAAATCAAGAAATATGTTACCAATCAACTATTTACTTCATGCAGAATCAGTACTGAAAGTATTGTCGAAGGGTTCATGTGCACTTTAAAGTATTTTTTGAATAAATAAGTCTTTATATTTCGTTTTAAAGTGTCAATAGTCCCTTTCACAGTTCCCTGCGCCATCTTGAAAGGTAATCGTGCCTTTGCATCGAAGCGAGACGAACGGTGACTTACAATGATAGAGACCTTTTTTAACACCTCGAATATGTATTCACATGTGTCTATCATTGCAAGCTCACCGTTTGTCTCGCTTCGATGCAAAGGCACGGTTACCTTTCAAGATGGCGCAGGGAACTGTGAAGGGGTCATTTGATTGGCTGGCTCATATATGATATAATAAATCGTTCCAAAGTTTGAGAGCACAAGTTGAGAAAGCACGTAGTCCATAGGTTTTCAGATTATATTTCTTCGATTCAAGCAGCAACTTGAATTCAGATCTGAGGCTGCGGCGAGGAAAATAAAAAGTCAATAGATTGCGGAGATATCAGGTGCTGATAAMTGGTTCATGGTTTTGTGGACATAAAGAAGGATCTTGAATTCAATGCGTAGTTCAACAGGAAGCCAGTGGAGTTCTTTCAGAATTGGAGTGATAGAAGCAGATTTTCGTGACATACTGATAAGTCTAGCAGCAGAGATTAGCACATATTGAAGACGTTGGAGTACATTTTTTGGAGTACATTTACGCTGTTTTAAGGATCATTTTCCAAAACATTGCCCCGCTGATGCATTGAGATGCCATCTCGACACTGTTTCTTTTCTTTTAACCTCAGAATGGCTAATACATTTTTGAATGATTGACAGAAACCCAGATATTTTGGGCTGTATTCGTTGATTAATTATGAAAATATGTCTAATAATGCCTGCTGTTAAGGACCCCGAACTACTCTCAAGGGCAGCCGTATAATTCAGCCCGCAAAGCAATGTGATATGCCCACGAATTTACAACTATCCTAACGTAACGAGCCACGATAGCATTCTGTAGAGTATTTGTTTGTACGGTATTTCTGTCGCTATTAGCTTGGAAAATCTGCAATACAATAGATAAGATAAATAGTTTACCCATTCATCAATGCATGCATTCATCCAAGCATCCATATGCATGCATGCATCTATCCATGCATTTATGCATTTATGCATGCATGCATCCATCCACCCCCATCCATCCATCCCCATCCATCCATCCCCATCCATCCATCCCCATCCATCTATCCCTCTATCCATCCATATTCATCCATCCGTCCATATCAATCGATATCCATCCATCCATCCATCCATCCATCCATCCATCCATCCATCCATCCATCCATCCATCCAT